CATTGATTTTGACTTTAGTGTCAGTATACAGTGAATATATTACTTTTCTCAACCCAGGAGATTTAACATTTTTCTTGCATCTCTTTAGGAATTTGAATTGCGTAAACATGCTCGCAATGAAGGTCGGCGTTACTGTGATCCTATGGTGCTTACATACCAAGCAGAAAGAATGCCTGAACAGATACGACTCAAGGTATTTATTGTATTTATACACAGTTTGCCTCAAACCCTGTTTTGTGATATAAATATCATCTTTGCCCCAATCCACTGGTTGTTGGGCGTTTGTAATACTTACCTAAGATTTGTCATACTGTTTTTTACAGGTTGGTGGTGTAACCCTAAATCAGACTGCAGTATATGAGGAATTTGCACGCAATATTCCTGGATTTTTACCAACCAATGATGCTAGTCAACCGACAGGTTTCTTAGCAAAACCAATGCAGGTAACTGACAAGGTAGTGAAATTATCCAACCTTTGACCGTAGATGTGCTGTACAAGGTGTGAAGTTGCTTTTGCTGCTAGTCATGCTGCAACTCAGTTTATTCGCTTAGTTTGCTTTCTTAGATGTAGTGTATTTAATTCTGTCAGTCTGCCTCGCTGCTGTATCTCGCGTGTTCTGCCTGTGTTGTATGTGGCATTGATCAGATGTCTTAATGCCAATGCCCATAAAATTGTAACATTCACTTCTCTCAAAACAATCCACATGCTTCAGGCAATCTTGAACAATGTTTGGTTTGTGCCAAAAACTGTGCCACCAACTATACCTGACAACATGTGTTCATATGGAAGTTGTGCATCAATCACTATCTTTATTACAAATTACAGACAATAGAATCATCTAGTTTATTATTCGTAAGGCTGTCTCAGATTTCATTGACAAATCTTACTGTGATAATGTTGCTCAAAAACTTTATTTGTATTCAATAGAAATCTTCTCACAAATGTTCATATACTTGCTGATATTTGTAATGTGACTACTGTAAAATCTGTATTAGAAGCCGCGGCTTCTATTAAAATGGTACAATGCAACAGAGGGGATGCGGCTTCTATTAGAGTATCTACACATATGAGAAATGATGAATTTTTGGTTCTCAATTATTCAAATAGAATGGATGCGACTTCTATTAGGGATGCGGCTTCTAATACAGATTTTACGGTACTTGAAAGTTCAAGTTAGTTATAAATCACTAAATAACAAACATTTTTAAGTGAACCAATGCTGTTGGGTGAGATATCTAAATGTATGATCTGCAGATTTTTACATCACAGTCCTCTCTTATTTGGAGGCTTTCAATCTTTACAGTGGATACTAATTTGAAGTCAAAACGCTCTGCTATTCCAAAACTGGCCAAATTGTCTCCACACTATATGATCACATTGGAAATGAAGAGAACCTATGAAGTCCTGAAGTCTAGTTTATCTTGACTTTAGTGTGGACAACCAAGGCTTACTTACTGATCCAATTAATAATCCCATTGAATAATACACATGTAGAGCAAGTGGCTGCCGCTCTATCAGTCAGAGTTCTTTTACAATGAGATTGACACACTTGGAACTCTGTGGAAAAGGCAATTAATAGCTGTGAACGAGCAGTGATTTCAGCAAGGTTGTAATAGTTCTATGTTTATTTTTTAGTCATATGCCACTGATGAAATAACTCAGATTTATGATAAGTGTGCCGGAGACATTGAACAGTATCTACAGTGTACAGTAGCTACACCCAATAACCCACTTCTGTCCGCCATACATAGTCTACTGGAGGCAGTACTGCTGGCCAGGAACTCCAGGGAGATTGTTACAGCGCTGGCACTTCTGCAGAAAGTAAGTTTACAGCAGCATACATGCCTACTTCAGATCTCTTGCTAGTAAAATTGCTGGAATTCTATCAAATTATGTTTTAATAACCCTCCTCAGTTTGTCAATTCTCACGGTTGTAATGCATTGTCGTCTTGCGCAAAATAAACCATCTAAGGATGTTGACCATGAAGACTTGTAGTTAATAGGTGATTTTCCGTTCATCTGTGAGATCTCGCGAGATGCATGAAAGATGCGCGTCGAATGTCTGATTTTGAACTCGAATTTCTTTATTTAACAGAAAATGGTCCATTAAGTTCATTAATTTATTCTGTATTTTGTGTCCTATCAACAGTTGAAGCTTCATGCGTTGTTGGGTTTTATTTTTTTTCTAGGCTGTGGAAGGGTTATTAGAGGGTCTGAATCCCCAAATAGCTACAGATCCAGAACTGAGCATGAGGTTTCGTGATTGTCATTTATTGGTATTAAAAGCTTTACAGGATCACAGGGCATATGGACCACAATGGACCAACAAACAAGTCACCAGGTAAAATCATTATTTACTAATATCTATTTCACCTGTAAGACTCATTCTGTTTGTAAAACTGTTCATTAGTGCACTCAAGCCTAATTATACTGAAAACATCAACCTCAGATAGAAATTAAACACTTTAGGCAAGCAATTTTTTTTTTTTTTTTTTACCGTATTCATTTCCACTTCCTATTGGATCCATATAAATCTTCAAACCATTGAAATTGATAGCAGCAAAATTTATTACCAGTAATTTTACTAGGTTTTTTCTTCTTGTGTTAAATTTAGCCACTGAGAATATCGTATTACTCTTAAGAGTATCTCTAATAAGAACGCATGTAAACCACAAATCACATTTGTTGTATCCTAAATTTTGACCATAGAAACACCTGTAATTTACTAAACGTATGCATTACTAATAGAGCAAATACTGTACCTTTAAATTAACAAATCATAGATTTTTTGATAGCTGTGATAATGTTTTCAATAAATGTGTCAATGATATCGCTGATCGATGAAATCATTATCAGTGAATTATTGTGATGTTGCTTTGCAGAGTGCTATGCGAGACAAGAACTGAATGCAGATATAATTTAGATGCTGTTGATTGCCTAATAAGAAATCATCTTGTGAATCTCCAAGCATATGATATGCATTTAGCACAGGTAAACACTGGTTTTGATTGCATGATAATTGCAATTAGCTTCCGTAACATATTACAAAATATAGCCCACGTAATTTCTTCCATATTTTTTCTCCAAAAAAAAATTGATCACGACCTGAAGCCAGTGGGTAAAATTAGTGTTCCAGTTGTTAAGCACGTCTTTTGTAAAATCCTTTTTTTTTTTTTAACGTGAATGAATTTATGTTTGTGGTTTTCTTTTTTCCTAGTCATTGGAAAATGGACTGAATTTCTTGGCTGTAGCCTTCGCCATGCAGCTTGTTAAGTATTATTTAATTGATGAGAAAATGAGTAACGTGTGCAATGAAGCTGATCTCTTTAACACTTTACAAACTCTAGTTAGGATCGCATCACATTCAGCCAACCCACCGGAGGGGTAAGTGACTTTTTATTGTGTTACTTGTTATTAATGGAAATTTGATGCAAGCATGTCAAAAGTACTCTTGTCCTTAATGTGCATTTAAAATGTTAATTGTGATAGAAATAATCATCTAAACACCTGAATAAAATGCCATAGAATCATGTCAATGCAATGTTACCTACAGGATTGTTTCTGATTGGCTACGAAACACCTAACAATCAGGCCAATCAGAGAGCCAACAATCTTACTGTCAGAATATACTTTATTTGAAATTAGCAACATCTTAAGTTGGCTGTAGATTAGCTAAAATGTTCCTCAAAGAGACACTTTTTATATGTTTTGATTTAACTGCGGTCTTTGCACATTGTGTGTTTAACTTAGATGCACATTAATAATTGTGTATAAAAAGGTTCAGTTGAGTTGTTTTTTGATGTTATTTACTTGTTGATTTCAGCCTTACCCAGCTTGTTGATGTGATTCGTCAGAATCATGATACTACATTCCTTGATAAAGCACCGGGTGGTCCAACATCCATGATGCATTCAGGTATATCGCAAGCAAGGGAGTTTGACGATCCCCCTGGTCTGCGTGAGAAAACAGAGTATTTACTTAGAGAATGGGTCAATATGTATCATTCACCAGCTGCCGGCAGAGACAGTACAAAGGCATTCTCTGCATTTGTTGGACAGGTTAGTAATATTAATATCATTTAAGGATGTAGTAGACATAACAAGTATGTTATAATTAGGCTTGATATTTTCATATAAGAATTGTCCTGAACTATAGTAAACCATATATTTTATGAAACCTCTTATCTCACACTTTCTGAAATTCTGGGTAATTTTGGATAGAATTTAATGGTTATCACGTGACTGCTAAGTAAACAAACAAAAATGTTATTTTAAAAAAACGAGTACTGTGTGAAACTGGAACTAGTTAGATGAGTAACAAACATCGTAATGTTAACCACAGGGTGTCCCATCCAATCGGGTGACAAGATTTTT